ATAGCGCCTCCTATAAACTGAAGAAACCATGCTCCGTATACGTTGCGGAACTCGCAGCTATATTTTACGCAGTAGAGCGAATTGCCTCACTACCTTCTGACCATTATTTCATTTTTACGGATAGTCTTAGCTCATTGGAGGCTATTCGTTCAATGAGGCCGATGAAGCACTCCTCGTATTTCCTGCCTGAAATACGATCTAAACTGAGGGCTTTATCTAACTGCTCCTATACTATCACCTTAGCTCGGGTCCCATCTCATTGCTCAATTCTGGGTAATGAGAAAGCGGACTCGTTGGCTAAGGTGGGCGCTATGGAAGGCGATATTTTTGAGCGACAAATCGCCTTCAACGAATTTTTCTCCATTGCTCGTCAGCAAGTCCTCATCAGTTGGCAACACAAATGGAATGATGGTGAATTGGGAAGATGGTTACATTCTATTCTCCCACAGGTGTCGAACAAACCATGGTTCAAAGGGTTGGACATGAGCCGCGACTTTATACGCGTTATATCAAGGCTTATGTCCAATCACTGCTCGTTAGACTCGCACTTCTATCGAATTGGGCTCTCAGACAGCAATTTATGTGCGTGTGGCAGTGGTTATCGCGATATCGAGCATGTTGTTTGGTCGTGTACCCTACACCGTGTTGCCAGATCTGATTTATTCACATCCCTCAGGGCCCGAGGAAAACAACCCGCGATACCCGTTAGAGATGTCTTGGCGAGCCGAGATCTCGACTATTTGAATTTAATTTATGTGTTTTTAAAACGGATAGATCTGAGGATTTAGTAGTTAGTGTCATCTTGTGTTCTCTCAAGTTGTTAGCTGCCCATCGGTGTACCCCCATGTTTGTCTTTTTCATCAGAGTGTCGCTTAGTTCGAGATCAAGAGCACATTGCTCTCCAAACCTTGTGTTCACAATCCCTACCCTGCCATCCATTTGTTACAATTTGTCACCCCTAACCTCGAGATAGCCGCGAGTAATCGCCCCCCCCCCCCCCCCTCCCGCTTTACTAACGTTAGTTTTAAGTAATTTTGTAATCTAATCAATGAATATTGGCTCCGCAAAGCTATAGCAAATGAGCCTGGAAAAATAAACGCATTATAAAAAAAAAAAAATTAAATTAGCAACGCATTAACATTTCGATGTTTTTTTATAAAAAAATTTCGAACTACGATGTAATGTATAAACTTTTGTCAACTCACTAGTGACAGACTGAGTACTGCGAACTAACTCAAAATGCTTGTCATCTGGGAGCCGAGTCAAACTGTCAAACGGGAGCCAAACATTCAAAAGAGCTCAGAAGTCACGTAGGTAATTACTGTTTGAACCACAAGTAAAGGTGTTGCCACCTACTGAAAACAAATTAAGAATTATGAAACTGTTGAAACGTCAACCTTAGTAGGCGGATAATGTAAATCATCGAGCGTGATGCTCGAAAAAGTATTTTTATTTGATATTAATAATGCCAAAACTGGGTTGCTGCAACAATAATGTAATCAAACTTCCTAAGAGTCATGTAAGCTTTGTGGGCAGGTGCACTCCCATCACCATGTATACGTTATTTCTGGAGCAGAGGAGGAGGAGCCAAGAGTTCATTTGACAGCATGTATATACAATTTCGTGAGCTGTTTCAGCAAAACAATTTGAAACTTCGAAAGATTTTCAAGATGTTTTCTAACTCACTTGAAAAATAAAATCGGCTGAGGTCGCAGTACTCAGGTGACAGAGAGTCACTTCGACTCTCGGAATAACCCCCAGTGAGGCCTAAAGGGTGGATCGAGAAAAAAGTAGCCAACTCAAATATAGTACATTTCTGTTTAGCGTGTACTTTAAAAAATACAATCGTTGATTTTCGAAGGTGTGTGTCTACGAAATCTCTTGCCATTTTGGTTTTGGAATTTTGCAATCAGTTTTAAAGATGGCTCACAAACATGAGAAACAGCATTTTAAAAATTTCTGCACGCACGTTCTTTGTGAAGGATGATTTTAAACAGCTTCCTGGTCATGAATTTTATACTGCAGCTGGAACAGAACTAATTAGGCAACTTAGGCAAAAAAAAAATCAGATGGAAATTTGAAGAAAACTATTTGGTTGCCATAATAAAATTGTTATGGTTATTTAGCTTAACGTCGTGTTCTGGCTATCATCCAAACCATTTGTAGAATAGTTGAACCATTTGGGGTACCATTTGTTTAAGGTATTTTTTCGTTAGGGTGGGCAAGTTATTTGCACTTGAAACCCATGATACCCTAAGCTGTATTTGCCTGATCTAGTGTTTTGTCATTGCGGTAAAGTTACATAAAAATTGTATGAAACAAACAACGTTGCAGTATAGCCAAAAACTAGAGCCCGCTAAATTAATTATTCTTCGGCCATTTTTTAAATATTGAACAATCATCACGAGAAATCTCAAGAAGTAGTGTAAAACTAAATGCAAGGGTTCAACCGTGAAGTTTTTTAATTCATATTTGGCAAAGCAAAGTAAACTCAACAATATCAGGGCTTCATGTGAGAGTAAGCTGCAAAAATAACATAAAATAGATGATTAATTTACTAACATTATTCTTCTACACTTGCTCGTTACACTCTTCATTGTGTGCCACGAGTGAGGTGATGTGACTCGCTGTCACTAGTGAGGAGACAATAATCACCTCATGTGAGGTGACTCTCCGTGAAAATCAAATGGAGAGTCACCTCACTCGTGGCGCAGAATAGGCCTCAGTGTGTAAGATTTAGTAAAAAAAATAAAAACCGGGATGTAATACTTAATGTCGTTTTTATTCCGTTATATTATATATTTTTTCACAAAACGCTTATTATCTTTCTACAGATAAGAATACAACTTATCTGTTTGTCGATTTGTTTACTATTTATACGCAGAATTTCAAATTCTTCTTGACTTTATACATAGTTCTGCAACTGCTTGGTTTTAGTTCAGCTACTAACTACAAAAATTACAAATTCAACACCAGAAGATAGATTTATATACATAAGTACAATGGAATACAGCTCAAAAGAAAAGTAATTGCTAGCTTGGATTCGTCAATACCATTCTACAAATTGGACATGTTCGTTTCACGATAAGCCATTGGTTGATGCATTTTTCATGAAAGCAATGCTGGCATTCTAGAGTTTTGCGTTTATTGTTGTATTTAATATGAGTCCTGCAAATCGCACAAAAATTTCTGAAAAAAAAATACATTGGTAAGCAACATATGTGCCTGTAGCATTTTACATTTAATTCGAACCTATCCTCCCCGATTGGTCCATTCCAAGTTACACGATTATAGTTGGGGCGAAAACTTTCAGGGTTTTCATGCTGCTGTAAATACTCATATTCGGTATAGTTTGCTTCACGTTGGAAAAAATGGATCACTGTTGCGAGACTGGCCATTCCCAGCGACATAAGAGAACTGATTGCTAGCACGTTTTGAAGTGACATTTTGCCATTGTTTCATAATTTCACTTTTTAGTAGATTATTGAATTTCGTCTGGAGAGAAAATACGCAGTTGTGTTTATTTTACGATAATTTGCTTTCACTTGTTTTGTTTCATGTCAGCTGATTATGACACGCCTTTGAAAAATGAACATTATGGCACATCTCAGAATACATTAAATACAAATTTGGTGGTTGTCAGTGCGTGGAAGGGATTAGTTATTGCTCTTTAAACCGTTCACAAAAAAAACTTTATAAGTATCTTAGTAAATAGTCCCGAATTCGCTGAAGACAAAAATCCCTGAACTTCAACGAAGCTCCCAGAATTTCTACAAAATTCGATAAAGTTCACAGAGTCGAGTTTCAAGACACTGAAGAAGTTTGCACATTGTAGACGAAATACGCGTTTCTGTCAAAGATAAGCAATTAAGGCAGTGAAATTAAATGGAAATTACTAATCCTTCTCTCTTTCTGTACACAGGTATTCCGCACATTCATCAAGGTAATACAAAGTTCACTGGACTTCTAAAAAATTGACTGTACTTCATAGATTATTTAATATACCTACATATATAGAAATGGATTGTTAATGAAATCCATAAACTATGAATCAGCTTGGACATGTTTCTTTGCTAAGTACAGTGTACCAGTCGTGGTTAATATAGTAGCTATCTTAGCGATATAGTCAAGAGTTAGCACTTCAGGATAGTTTAGATGACCTAGGCAATCACAATAGGTCGTATGAATAAAAGCGTTTACTTTACTTTCCCCGTACGGCAAAGTAAATGTAAACTCTTTTTATTCATACAGCACAATAAGTTCTTTAACATTATTGTTTTTTTTAATTAGTTTTTGGATTAAAAATAACACCGAAAAAGATCCTATCCATATCTAAGATATGCTGAAAAATGAAACCAAGATGTGAAACTTAATATTTTTTAATTCATGCATTTGCTTGGATTAATTAAATATGATACATTTTTAAAACATTGTCAGCACCATTAACATCTTATTCGTTGAGTTCATTCTGTGCACCCTAGGAACCAATGAGCTGGATTACCGAGGTGAAGCAATCACTCACACAACCACTGTACGATACACGCAAGTACACGCAAGTAGTGACGTCACTACTTGCGTTTACGTTGATTTTTTGGTTTACTAATACAACCCTATTTCACGATCTGCTTCACCTCTCTCTGTACTCATTGCCTAGGAACTACAAATCTAGATAAACATTTCAAAAGGTCCTATTTGCATTGAACGATTCTCTTCATCGACTTTCTCTTCCATTAATAACTCAACTTCAAAAGCATTCCCTGCTGTGTTCAACGTTCTAAGCACAAGATATGAACTGCTGCTATCAAACTGTGTGGCAAAATTAGCATCAAATGCATTTGCGTAGGCGTGGTTATCAAAAGAGAAAGTCGATGAAGAGAATCGATCAAAGCAGATAGGACCATTTGAAATGTTCATCGAGAAATACTTACAAGCGATACATATCGATGACATTGGAATAATCATCACAGTGCTACTGACAGAACGAACAACAATTTCAGTTGCGTTTTGTCTGTTGTCGTTTAAGGTCATAGAGCTATGACATCCTTTTTGTGAGTGTGATATTTTAGAAAAATATCACTTTTATTTCGTCTTAACATTTTTTGAGACATTTCAATCGTAACCGTGATAACTGTGATCTCATCGTGTGTATTAATTGTGCAGTTAATATCTATGAATCGCAAAGAACACTTTACAACATCCGACTGAATTCGCACAAAGGACAATCTCACACAGACAAGCCGAAAAGTGATATAAAAGAAAATGGCCTGGACGAAGCATCAAGTAATGCTGGCATTTACCCTCGTCATTACCGGATCAATCAACACCCTAAGTACCAAGTAAGTTATCAGCAAGCTAAGGCAATGCGGGAATGCATTGACATTGACATAATTGCATTATTTTTTTTCCCTAGATGGGCGGATAACATCCAATCGGAGAGTTCCGATGGTCAAGTTAGACCATTTGAGCATCCATTTGTTCAAGCATGTGCCATGTTTATGGGAGAATTCCTTTGTTTGCTGACGTTCAAGGCTCTTTATTATCACTTTCGTAGGAAAAATGTAAGTGAAAGAAGTAGAATTATTCCGAATTTTCTTTTTTCCTCGTTTTTGTTTTTATTTTTCTTGACCCGCATAGTAAAGATGTGCTTGTATTGTGCGCACACATAAAAAACCACCCTCGATCTAGTCTTGCTTTGTAGCTTTGTTTTGTTTGGGTTGATCGATGTTGTTATCTACAAAATATGCAGACTCAGCCCACTAACCAGCGAATTGCCCGTTTCAGAATGGAGCCGAGGATCGCCACGATCTTGTAAAAGGAAACAGAGAGTTCAGTCCGTTCATCTTGTTTGTGCCGGCTATGTGCGATATGATTGCAACTTCCATCATGTATGTTGGACTGAATCTCACGTATGCGTCCAGCTTTCAAATGTTGCGCGGTAAGTAGGGTATACGTCCCTAACCTCGGTCTAATATGCAGCCATAGATTACGTTTTTAATCATAACTCATCAATTAATTTACCTGCAAACGATATTCTACTGCTAAATGGTATGCTTAGATATGCTTATCATGTCGTTTGCTATCAGGAACCGCAAAAAGTTGAAAAACTTACTTTTTTTAAGACAAAAACTCACCAGGGAAATGTATGTAATATCGGTCTATTGTCCCCAAATTGGGTCTATTTATGGATGCAACTTCGTCCTATCCTGTTTGATTCTCAAAAAAAACGCTCTTGGTAACGTTTTCTTATGTATTTTTTTTTATCACTATCACTGTTAACTTAATACTCTTCATTCCTCAAAACATTTCTTAGAGAAAATTTTACGAAAACTACATTAAATCACTCAAGTTAAAAATTAAAAATTAAAAATTTCGCTTATCGTCTTTCGACCGCAGAATATCTAAATCAAAACATTGTGATGTTCATTATACAGATTTGGCAGAAAAAATCTCCCTTCCTGTTCGTTCCTTATCATCCAAATGCAAACCACATTGTTGACGTTACTCTTATTGCTATATGCTGTCAAATGAATTTCATGGGCCAAAGTTAGGAACATAGAAAAGAAATGTGTCCCTAAAGTTGGGTCCATGATTTACTTGTGAAAACGTTGTTAAACAATTAAAATAAACATAAAATATTCAAACAGTAACTGTGAGTTTTACGTCTAGTGTGTATTATCAGGTAATTCCATTCAATAAATGCCATAATCAGGCCATTTGATGATCGTCAGTGCAACCTTCCCATCTTAACCTTAGAAGTCATGGCGGCTAAAAACTCCGAACAGAGTGATATTCTCAACCAGTTTTATTACTTACGAGAGCTGAAAATGTATTGAAATGTTGTGATATAAATTGATTTGTGTGTGGTACACATTTATCAATCATCAGTGATCAATATTTTCCTTATTTTTTGTGTAATATTCCTTAATTAATTATTTATTTGCGTGATAGGCCGAATGAAAGGACTAGACCCACATTACATACCGTAACCCTATGACTAATTTTGTGTTCTGTTACATCGTTCTGTGAAGCGAAGCATAATCAGATTAGTTTTGCAACAGTAACTGGGGCGGTTCTATAGAACTGGCTGAGGACTGATTCATCGGCTAATTTAGTTCTTACTTTGCTGGATCGATCAAATATCAGAGTAGCAAGTCAGAAAACTGTCCACCATTCAGAATCAACGGGCTATAATTATACCTTTTTTATTTTATGTTCTTAATACATTTGAGAATTGCTCTTTAAAATCTTGTTAGTAATTGGACGCTTAACTTCGTCGGTGGATTATCTGTCCTTTGTAGGTATAAATGAAATAAATTATATCGTACATAGAGCGCGTATCCAACAATTATTATTGGCTGAATCGGGATTACACCATTTGGCATATTAACGTTTGTCATAATCCGGTTTTTCATAACTGGTTAATGGTCGTTTGGCATAAATGATTTCCAAGCCAAGATACGTTCAAAATTATTGGTTATGCTACGCATACACGCAGAAAAACGGTTGGTAAATTCCACAAAAAGATTAGTTGAATGTTCGCTAACATAAACATGTTTTCGTGGGAATTGAGGGGGTTAGTGACCGAAATGGCCACTAATATAATATGAGCCGTACACACTTATAAAGACCACCCTCCCTCACTTAAAGTGTCTACGAAATTTATGGACAGCCCCTAATGTAAATGGCGTAGGGGAAATGTTGGCTAATGTTGGCCTATGGATCTGAAGATTGGGCCCATCGATACAAATATCCTATTCTTCAATTTTTCGTAGAACAAGCGTCATCTGAACAATACAAATGGATATTTTTGGTTGTTTCCTTCGAAATTTATGTTATTTATTATTATGTTATTTTTCATCATTCGCTATGGTAACTTATACGCTATGCAAGAAAAATACTGCAATATACATCGCCTTTGTGTAATATACATCCTTCTTGGAGGCTGTTCATATACCACGAAGACACTTTAGATGGGAGCGGAAAATTCATGGTCCATACAAATTCGAAAAAAATGTATGCATGATTTGATCCAAAACCTTTCAAAAGCTGTCCACATGTGGTCAGCCCTTTACAATTAAATTAATCCTAAACAAGACAAAAGTAAAAGGATGTTGTAATGACCAAAAACCGCTCAATAAATTTTAATTCTGTGTTCCATTTGGTGAATTTTCACTTCAATGTGATACTTCGAAAATTAATTATACTGTTTGAAAATCCCTCTGTTGTTGTTGATTCCTGGTCTGTCAGAAATAAGTCTGGTACAATAGCAGGTTTATTTGAAAATTTTCCATCTGTCAAATTTAAGTGAAAATTCACCAAACGGAACACAGCCCAAATACTTATTTAAGCTTCTCCGTGTGCTCATTATTCTCGTCCTTATGTCAACTGATATGCTATTGAAAACCAATTAAAATACTATTGATTTAAAACATAGACTTTTTTATGGATTCGATCATGTTAGACTGTATGCAGGTCCGGATCTACGGGACGAGGGCATGGCCCTGGCCATCGGGCCTCCTCATTTTAGGCGTCCCCACACATTTTAGAAATTTTAACATCAAACTGAGAGCCATGTTTCAAACAAATGCATTTTTTCGCATTCTTAATCATAAGGACAACAATGCAGGCATAACATTTGATAACGGCACAAAAGCATTTGTAAACAAACTTTCTAAGGCCTTTACACGCGAACCAAAGTATGCCCACGCAAACCAATTTCGGAAAGGTGATAGTTGCCCCTATCCGATGATGTTGTTGGTTTGCGTGGGCGTACTTTGGTTCGCGTGTAAAGGGCCTTAGAAAGTTTTTTTACAAACGCTTTTGTGCCGTTATCAAATGTTACGCCTGAATGATCGATTATCTATATCGGGTTTTCTCTTTGAATTGACAGATAGATGAAAAATATCCGAGATTTTTCTAAAGTTTCTTTTGGCTAGCAAAAAGAACAACAAACGCTCCGATATATTTTCAACCAGCTGAGTTATTGACAAAACAGAAAATCAATTAAGATAATCAATCATTGCATAAAGGCAGACCCCCTTCACTCTTTGGATTTTTTAGAGACAGATAACAGCGCCAAACGATTTGTGACGAGACAACGTTGAACTGCAGCGTTGGAAGAAAACACACACACCAACATATATACATGTACGAACCCACACAACTGAGCGGACGGTACAGTGCAAATCAAAACACGAAGCGGTGTCATCACTCAGCGTCTTCATTCAGCTTCGGCTTCTTCCGCTTGCGTTTGCTTTCACCGGCGTTGACAAATACTTCCTACGTTATAAAATAGGAAAGTAATGATTATTCCAATGCAATTTTTGAATAGAATGCGTGCTGCGTTGGCCAAAGAAGACGACATATTTTATTACGTTTAGCAATGATTTCGATACGTTGCATTTCCAGTGACTGGGGTGTTGAAATAATTCTTTAGAGAGAGTGAATGCTTTTCCCTTGTTTAGTTCTATACTTATTAAGATTCTTTTGAGCATCAGCTCCGCAAATCATCAATTACTAATGATTGAATGATTGAAAATCGGAACAATCACAAACAATTGTTTTTTTTTTTTTTTTTCTTTGGTTTGTTTTTTCCGTCGATCTTGTTTTCCGTGCTGAGCACCAATGCTACCGACGTGCCAGGAAGGCAGCTCCCACACCTGGACCCTACCTATCGACCCATCAACTCATGAACCGGGGACCAACGGCTTTACTTCCCATCCGAAGGAAGGCGTGATCAGAGATGTTATGCCTCAGAACATCCCGGTGGCGCCGACTGGGATTGAACCCAGGCCTGCTGGGGTGAGAGGTAATCACGTTTACCACTACACCACCGGCGCCGTTCTACAAACAATTGTAATTGTAATTAAGTAAGAATCTTGCTATCGCAATATAATGATGATGACTTCGAGGATGATATCGTCCTCTTTCCTCGGCTGATCATCAACGTCCGCATTGACATCTATCATGCTGACACCTGTCAGTTATTGAGCCCAGGTGGTGAAGTTGGCGGGGAAATCCCAACAGTTTCAATGTGCACTCAACAGATGGCACTGAGATCACATACGGGTGGTAATTATATGCCTTGTATGAGGAATTGATTAGTGGGATATCTTGTTAATTAGATATCTTTGCCAATAGGCTAGTCAAGTAGTGAGCAAATTTAAAATTGTTAGTTTCGTATTGATTGTTGCTATTACTGTCAACTCAACCGAGGGGGTAGCATAAGCACAAAAACACCCTGCATACGGGGGTATTCATAGAGTTCTCTGCCACCGTTAGTATTAGTGAGAAGTTTCACTAATACATGCCTTTTACTGGTTGAAAATAAAAAACAAACCGCTGTCAAGTCGAACACTTTGACAGCTGATTTTGTGGTTGAAAATAATAAACAAATCGATTTTACACGACTAAGCTCACTAGGTTGTATTAGTGAGATCTTACGTAGAGAAGTCAATTGGATGCAAGGGATAGTGAAAGAGGACACTGATGTCGTTTTCGTTTTTGCGTTGTAGCACTGATGTAGTGTAAGCAGGAATAAGCGCGAGTCTTTGACAGCTCAACATCATTTGTTTGTAAGCAAAGGTGCATCCTATATCTATACCCTACAATATTTCGGTGTACGGCAGTGTAGCACCGGTGTAGCTACACCGCAAAAACGAAAACGACATAAAATAGCAAGTTTTTTATTCCGACTGTTTCCTCTTAGCATTGTTCTTTGACTTAACTGTGTAGGTTATCTTCTTTTTTTTTTTTTTATCTAGTTCGTTTATTTGGAAGGCTCAATCGCGTTAGCTTTACGGAGCCGATAATTCATTGTTCACTGTGTGTAACAAAATTCACTTAATTCTATGTCTAGTAGGAGTTGGGCCGATTACTCGCGGCTTACTCGAGGTTAGAAGGGTACATTTTCGAAGGATAGGATCAGGGGAGGAG